AAGCCATGCCACGCCCACCAAGCCATGCCACGCCCACCAAGCTACGCCTACAGAACCCGTCGTAAAATTTTTGAATCCCACCACTGCTACACACCCATAGTCTTTAATAGTGGCTGATCTGATAGAAAGTATTTGCAAACCGTATTTCCCCAGTTCATACCATGGACTTGCAGATACTGAAACATGCACTCATTTAGGATGTTCTCAGGATCTAGAACTGTGGGTGATTATAACTCAGATTTTCCTTACCACTGATTTATTATGTGGCAGCAAGTCATTTTTTAGTCTTAGCAGGCGCACAGATTTTCTCCATGATAACCTATCCCTAACCCCACCCACCTTGTTCTTGGTCATCCTTTTGTTCTATTTCCTGGAAGGCATTAGAATAAATAAGAAAATGGGATAGTTTGGGAGGCACGAGTGGCAAGAGGACCACAGAAAAGATAGAAGGAAAGATAGGAAAATAATCCAAGGAGGCAAGTTATTTAAAAAAGGCTCACAAATCCAATTATATTTAAATAAATATATTTGAAAGGTCAGCCACTCAAAGCAACTGAGATGCACATGAATTCCCAAAAGAAGTGAGTGATGTGAAATAGCTGAATTAATTGTGGCAGCACAGCAATATCGTCTGCATAGCAATGCTTAATCTCTCACAGAGAGAAGCCGGAGACTCTTAGCAAAAACTTGGGAGAGATCCAAACACCAAACTGTCAATTTTGCGATCCTGAAATGCTGTGTTACAACCCCTAATAAAATGATTGCTAAATAAAATATAGAGAACATTTATTAACAAAGTTAATAGTAAAACACAACAAAACTAAAAAAAAAACCCTAAAAATCTGATGATATCCTTCAAAAAAAATATCTTGCCCTTCAAAAAACAAAATAATAGAGAGATGAATAAGGATCCATTGTCACAGGATGCCAAACTGGAGCAGGGACACCATTCTCATCATTGGTCTTTTCTCTGCCAAGTAATTCTTCTCCTGAAAGAGAAGATAGACACACACACCACACTTGCCTCGATTTTGATACCAGTGTAAGCAGGGGTAGGTTGCTGTTGGCCTTACTGTCCGTTTGGTGCAAGCACAATTTTGTGCAGTTGTCCATAAATAGGTCTGTGCATGCACAGAACATTAAAAAAATGGGAAAAAATATGCTGCGTCAACTGGGGACACAGTTGGCAGGCCTGGGCCGCTGCTGGTTCCGGTAAACCAGGCCAGCAAAGCACTACTGGTTCGGCTGAACCGGCCCAAACCAGTAGGAACCCACCTCTGAGTGTAAGGCAGGAGAGTTTAACTTTCATTGGCCTCTGAAATAAGATTATGAACAACTGTATCTGGGACAAGGATTAAGATGTAAAAATAAATTGGAATGCGTGCGTGTGTGTGTGTAAACATAAAGCAGAAATACTGAAAAAGTTGTCCATTGTTTAATTACAGGGCGATTTATGTTCCAACAGGCAGTGAAGCAGATGATACCATATGATTTGGTCTTCTTTCTTCTTGACCTCAGTTGAAAATTCCTGGATCAACATAAGGGTAGGCAAGGAACTCTCCCAGCTTGTTCCCATCTGCATCATAATGGAGTGTTTGGAAACAGACATCACAAAAGAATGAGGGCTCTTGTGGAGCAAGGCTGTCTTCATTCGTTACCCACCTGTAAGGTCCATTGCAAAGAGGGTCACTTTGTGAAGAAATTCATTCATTCATTCATTCATTGCTTTGAAGTTGCATCAATATCTGACTCTATAATCAGGTTACAAACATACATATAAATGCCATAATTTTAAAAACATTAAAAATATTGATATTATCAAAAATACCTACAATCCATAATTATATTATTATAAGCATAATACCATAGTACCATAAGTTACCAACCAATAAAGATTCATTCCATGTTCAGGTACCTCTAAACCTGCTTGCTTCAGTTCCTAAGTGCATATTTAAACACACATTTGCAGAGGCTCCTAAATATTAAAAATGAGTGAAGCTTGCCAATTTTAACTTTGAAAATAGACATGTATCTAACCAGACTTCAGTTTTTCCCCCTACTAAAGAAAGATGTTTGTTAGGAATATAATCTAACAGTTGGGTTGGNTTGGCTGAAGTCCACTAATTTTTAAAGTTGCTGAGATTAAAGCAGCCCAGTTTTAGAGGATGGGAACAAAAGCAAGTGTGACAGTATTGTGGGAGGCAAAGAACAGTATATTAAGCCACGCTCTTAACCAAATCCTAGAGCAGAAGAATGCATTTAGCTGAAAAGTCTGAATATAGTTCTGTGAATTAAAAAATATACATGGAATTAAAAAATATACAAGGAATGCAATCTTACAATGCTGAGTTATAAGTCATGTACTTACCTTTGTAAACTCAGGCAAAAAGCTTCATTTTGACAAGTACTGTAACATTGTTCTTTTGCCCCCATTGCATTATTTTGCCCCTTCCCCGATTTCAACCAACATAGGAATTTAAACTTTGGTTTTAAATAAGTTTAAATTGCCCCAATATTCAACGTATTTTAAGGATGCAGAACACCTAATCATAAATCGTCACAGTGTAAATATGATAAGTCAAACCAAAATGGAGTCTCTCTCTCCCTCTCCCCTGATAATGAACTAGATCCGAAGAGAAGAAAAATTATTTTTTTGCTACAATCTGGGCTTTGATATTTGACCACTTAAATGCTAACATCATTAAACAAGTTGCCAAAACACAAATACACAGCTGGTGGGAGGAAAATTTAATTAGAATTTGACAGCTGGGTCCTCTGGTTGAGACTCAGAGGAGTCATTTCTTCCTTCAATACTGAATACAAACTAGACCCAGCTGTTCCCCATGGCAGCTTCTGGGATTGGTGGAATTAGAGTTGTAATGTTTTCTACCTGATTTATTGTTCATTGTGTAAACCCGCTATAGGAGTGAAGGTAGGGATGCAATAGAGTCAGCGTAACATACACCTACACACCAGAGGTGGTATTCAGCAGGTTCTGACCAGTTCTGGAGAACCCTAGTGGACATTTTGAATAATTCAGAGAACCAGTAAATACCACCTCTGACTGATCCTGCCCCTATTTATTCTCTGCCTCCCGAGTCCCAGCTGATCAGGAGGGAATGGAGATTTTACAGTATCCTTCCCCTGCCACACCTACCATGCCACGCCCACCAAGCCATGCCACGCCCACCAAGCC